TTCATAAAGCACAGAAAAAAATAAGAATAATATCTTTGTAACCTTGGGAGTAGGCAAAGATGATTTCAACACAAAATCAATAACTCTAAAAGAAAAAAATCAGTAACCCTAAAAGAAAAAAATAGATAAATTGAACTTTATCAAAATTAAAATTTATATCTCATTGAAAGAAACATTAAGAAAATTAATAGGCAAAAAACAGACTGGGAGAAAGTTTTCATAATACATCTATTTGACAAAGAACTCATATCCAGAATATTAGAGAAATCCTATAATACAATAAGAAAAGGACAAATAATAAAAAGGTGCACCCAATTACAAAACAGTCAATGATTACAAAATAGTAAATGACTTGAATACATACTTCACAAAGAAATACAAATGGCCAACAAGTGTGTGCAAATGTGTTCAAAATGTCCAAAAAAGGTCCAAAAAGAGCCTGTAAAAGAATGTCTACAGCGACTTTCATATTCATAATTACACAAATATCCACCAACAGAATGAATAAGCAAAATGTGTTATGGTCATGCAATAAAAGGAGAAACTACTGATAAAGGCACAAACATTATGAGGAGTGAAAAACCAGCCACAAAAACATGACTCAATTACTTTATATTATTTCCAAGAATAGATAAAACTAATTTATGGCAACTGAAATCAGAAAGTGGTCATCTCTGTGGGTGGAGAGAACGAAGCGGAGATTGACCTTAAAACGACAAGAGGGAATTTTCTGGGATAGTGTAGATGACCTTAATAAGAAAAAGAATAGGCAAGACACAGACTGAAAAAAAGTTTTCATAATACAAATATCCGACAAAGGACTCATATACGGAATACATCTTTTCTACACATGGTTACATTCTGTACATGATTAAATAAAATGGCTAAAATTCATGAAGCCAAATGCTTAAGACCTGTACAAATTATTATATTTAAATTACATCTCAAAATATATATATTGACCAGTGCCAGATTCTGTGCAACTCATTGGAGATAACAGTGATGAACAAGACTGTTCTCATAAAATTAGAAAATCCAATAAATGGACTTTTTTAGGCTATTCAAGGACTTACCTCAACTCCATCCTTCTCTTTGTTGTCCACATACTTAACTATTGTTTCTGTACATAATATAGTGAAAGTGTGTTACAAAAAGAAATCAGGAGTCTTGAGTTTTTTTCACATTTCTGTCCTCGACGATCTTTGGGACCTTGAATAAGCCATTTATCCTTATTATACTTACCTGCAAAACAAAGGTGTCAGTCCAATATCCTTTTAAGCCCTTATTTTTATTGGTTTTTATTCTTATTACATACACTAATGATGATATCATTTATTTACTGTGAAGCTGTAAATTTGAGGGGGAAAACTGTGCATCATAGAAGGAGACAGCCCCAATTTCTTGACCATAACTTGGTAACGGTCATAACTTGCCAGCGTGTGGTATTGCCACTGAGCCTTTTCTAGTGAGTTAAGCTGAGAGTTTACAGAAAATGAGATCTGACTAGTCTGGCCTTTATTTGAATTCTAATTGCCTTTTTTTAAAAATGGCTTTTTCAGTCATGTTAATTTTGAGAGTGACCAACCCAGATCTCAAATTTCCAAATCAAAAGGCCCCCATTGCAGAAAAGGCTTTTTAGTTTGCCAGGTACACAAAGCTATCTTGTTTTTTAAGTGAATTAGTTAAGATTCAGAGATGGGACGGAATCTAAAGTCTGTAGGCCCATAAAACATTCTCTCTTAGAAACATTTAGAGAACATGCAAGAGTAAATTGCTCTCTTACGAGGTCTGCAGAGGAACATAATACATAACTTTCTTTCGTTGTGATTTTTAAATTTTCCCTTTCTCCCAAATTGCTTAATCACTTTTTGGTTAGAGAAAATAAGCCTCAATATGGCCAAACCTCTACCCAAAGACCCCTCTCCCTATCCCATGCTGCTCATAACCTCTTCTTGTCACTCTTCTTCATATTCGCCCAATGCCTTTCCTTTCTTTTTGTGCACAGTTTGAAATTTACTTATGTCAATCCTTTTCCCTATCAGCTGATACTCATAACTCCTTAACGTTTTAACATTTTGTAATATCATTAATTCATTCATTAACTCATTTCCACAAAAACTTACTGAAGTAAAAACAAAAACAAAAACATGCAAGATGCTATGTAGGTGCCAAGAACAGAAGGGTGAAGAATCTCCCTGCTACTTGGGGGTTTATACTCTAAGATTTACATATATAGTCTATATTTTTAAACATATTGTCTAATTTTTTTTTTAAGAATTGAATGTGTGCTTTTTTCCTTTATTAAGTCCTCTTACAACCCTTTGGTCTGTGAGTGTGGGCTTAGATTTACTTTTCAGTGCCCTTGATTCAAATCATCAAAGCACACGAAGCTTCGAAGCTGCAAACTACCACTACAGTCTTCAGAGTGACAAGCTTCTTGCTTAAGAAACAGTTTCTCAGCATTCTAATAATATGTCCCCAGGATCTCCCTGTGAAAGTAGTAAACAGAAAAACAACTGGGGGAAAATTAGGATGTGTATGGTCACTGTTCTGTTCCTTTTGTGGTTTTCTGCTTCTAGCGTTTTGCTTTTAATTCTTCCATTCATATATTGATTGGTTCATATATTGATTTATAAATACGTATTTAATGCCTACAATGAGCCAGGGAGTATACTAGATGAGTAACACCTAATCCTTGTTAAAGGACCTCAGAATCAAAAATTCTATTTCAAACTGTTTTGACCCAACAAACATGATTGCCTTTGCCAATCAAAAAAGTGGATTTTTTCCCACTGTTGAAATAGATGTTTTCAAAATAGATTAAAAGATATTTAAAGGTAAAAAGACATTTTTAATGGTGAGATATTTTACTAAATAGTTTCTAGGGTGTGTGTGCACATATGTGTGTCTATGTTTGTGCGTGAGTATATTGCCTTACATTTCTCTTAGTATCATATGCCTACAGAGGCTTTTTCAAACTATCTTTAATATAAACTGCATTCTAAAATAGCCTTTAAAATAAACAAAAGATGACAGAAAATAATTTTTAGACAAGATACTGCATGCAATTTTAAAGTATAGATTTAAAACGTCTTCATTGCATCCTCCGACAACCCAAAATACAAATGATGCCTCCCCCCCCATACACATTCAATTTGGAAGATGGTGGCAATATTTTTTGTTTATTTAATTCACATAAAAATTATTTCATTGTTATGGATAGTAACAGCTATTCCTGTTCCTCAATGAGTATTTATTGAGTTGAAGCTTCTTTAACAATCCATTTCATCAACACTAACAGCTAGTTACTAGTAGTATCTACATTTATAGGTGAGAAATCTAAGGAAAATCAATGTTAAAGAACTTGACTTGTTAAATATTTAGTACAAAATATAAGATAATGAAATTTGATAGAAAAGACACAAAATCTGCCCAGAAGAACCTTTAATAATTAACAATTATTTTAAAATCATGAACTGTAGTTAAAACTTATGAAAAGTTGGTTAAAGGATGTGACTTCTTTCCCTGACTAAAACATGCCTTTGGGAAATTTTTATTTCCTTGTCTTCATCTCCCTCTTGGCATTTACCAATCCTGAATTTCTCCTTGTTTTCTCTCTTCTTTTCTGCAGTTGAAAAGCTTTAAACGACTGCTGAGCAGCCCATCTCTCTATGTTCTAAAGAGACCCTTTGCCTCCTGGGAGAAATATAGTATGTTGTACTCGTTTGGATACAAAAAAAGGACTACTTACTTACTTTTCTACAATTGTAAATAGTTCTCTAATCTTTTCATTATTAATTAAATGTATGAAAAGTTTTAACATTATAACATTCTCAGTCATTTTTCATAAAGCCCCATGCTATCTCATTTTGCATTCCTCTAAGACTTCTGTCCTGTCTTGTTCTGTGAAGGCTCCCTGTGCCCTTTGTCATTTTTCCATGGTGTCTTTATCTACTTATACTATGAGCTCCCTTCTCCTAATCCTCTTCTCATACCCATTATTTTCCAGTATTATTAGCCTGGTTTCTTTTGACACAAAAGCTTAAAAGCCACTGCCTATTTCTGTGTTGCCAACTTTTCATGTCGCTGTCATAGTGACACCTTAAATCTCTGACAGCAAATGTCAAAATCTCCCAAACTGCACTGTAGACCAACTACAGCTAAATTTAATAAAGTATTGGGCAGCTCTGATTAAAACAATTGGCACCCATGGGAAAAAATGATATTAGTGGGGTCTAAATCCAAGATACTGGCTATTTCAAAACATAGGCTTGACTTTGTATATTATGTTCAAAACAAGTTAGTTAGTCCTTCTTAGTACTTTGACCAAAAATTTTAGTGACTTTCCACAGGTGAATGGGGGGATTGGCTTGACTAGGCTATCCTAAAAGTTCAAGTATTTTCCATAGTTCCATAGAAAATAACAGAGCAGGGAAATAAAATAGAAAAGGTTAGAATTTAAAAAGTAGTTAAAAGCCTACTTAGTCCTTGTTCTCTACCAATTACCTACAAACTTTTGACTTTTACTTTCTAATCTTAATATACTTACTCTAAAGACAAAACTCTCATTCCCTCCTCTGTTTTTTATTCCTTTGGCATTTTAAAATATTCTCTTTTTAATTGCTAGTAAATACTGAATGAATTTCCTTTTGGAATAGGGATCAGAGCAGATTTGTACAACTTAGCTACAAAACCTCAAAACAATCTTTTAAAATGTTTTCTGAACCATGGCTCAAAAATAGGTTTTTCTCTATTTAACCTTTAAAAAAATGGTTTGAAATGTAAAAGGACAAAGCAATTCTTAAACACAGCCACAGTGACATCTGCCAAAAGCCAAAAATATCTCATTGGTTTAACAGGCCAAATTTGTAGTCCCTACGAAGTCCTAATGTTATTGTGAATGCCCTATGATGGGTTACATGGGTAAAGTGATGTGTTTGTAGAATTACATGGTAATTCAAAGAGACACTGATAAGCTATATTTTGTACTTTTGTTCCAGATGCAGGAAGGAAACATTTAATCCATCTACTTTGATCCAAAAAACTGTCTTGATGACATTTGGAAGGATTTAATGACATTTTCCTTGGTTCCAGCTCTACTATTCAGCCGTACCTCATTGTATATGATTAAGCTGTAACTCTGCAGTCAGTTATAGGACCCAATGCCTCAAGTTCATAATTAAGATGCAAAAACAAAAAATGAAACAAACAAAAACTCCAACAACAACCAAAAAATAATTTTGCCAAGTACTCCTTTCCCAATAATTGACTTGAAATGCTCTCTGTTCTCTACTGAGCTCTGAGTTGTGAAGCAGTTCCTTGGATGGGGACTATCAGACTTGACTCACACTAGGATCTTTTCTAACTGCTTTCATCTCCCAAATGCCTACCATGATTCAGAGGTTACCAGATGTTGCATCTAGTAACAAAGGTATAAAAATGTAGGACTCTGTGGTTGCAGAGTAAATCAAAGGGAGCCATAACCGACCACTGCATAAATAATGGGCCAGCGTTATGAGTGGAACTGTGTCCCCCAAAATTCATATCTTGAAGGTCTAACCACCAGTACTTGAGATGTAACCTTATTTATGAATAGGGTCATTGCAGATGTAATTAGTTAGCTAGGTCATTGGATTATCCAACATGACAGGTTGTTAGAAGGTGGAGGAGGGACAGTAAAGTATACTCCAGGCTGAGAAGGCACTTTGAGATTGAAAAAGGACACAAGCCACTCCGTACTATTTACAGAGTTTTAGTCAGGGTAACTTACTAACAAGGAGACTCAGGCAAAGGACCATTCATGGCGGCAGCATACTTCCTATCTGCCCCCATTCTCTGCCCAGTCCAGACCTTAATCCCCAGCTTTTATAGAATGAGAGGTGAGGTCAAAGGGTAGTTATCTAAAGTGGCATCATCTGTGAGCCAGAGGATCTCTACTAGGATATAAAGTGGGGCCTTCTGTGCACCAGTCATTTCTACTGCTTATCTAAAGTGGAGCCTTCTGTGTGCCAGTTTAGGGAAGATCAGAACAAGCCATCCCACATTCAGGTCAGGATATACATTAACCTCCTGGGAGCCTGGAACATGTAGCTACGAGGCAGGTCATTTCTCAGGCATGAACAAGTTGGAGGGTCAAAGATGGAGTCATTGTTTTTAGCACTCCTACACAGGTATCCTTAGAAAAAGGGGGGATTTGATTTACACATACACACAAAAGTATCATCACGTGAAGATGAAGGCAGTGATCAAGGTGATGCATCTACAAGCCAAGGAATGCCAAAGACTTCCAGCAAACCACCAGAAGCTAGGAGGGAGGAAGGACAGCTTCTCCCTCACAGCCATTAGAAGGAACCAACCCTGCTGACACTCTGATCTCCTGGTTCTAGCCTTCAAATCTGTAAGACAATACATTCAAGCCACTCAGTTTGTAGTACTTTGTTATGGCATCCCTAGAAAGTAACATAGGCAGCCAACTCCAGAAGATGGCTTGTGGACAACTGGTGCAGGTACAGATGTCAGAGAAGGACAACCTGGTATAAAAGCTGAGCAAACAGCAAATGCCATGGCAGAGATACAGCCATGCTGACTGACCTTTCTTCCCTGTGGCAGGCAGAAGATTAGATCCCAAGTTCCCAGAAATCAAGGAATTCACAAGGTGGGAGCAAAGGCTCAGACACCAGAAGGTGTAAGTTATGTGGAGAAATAGCAAGAGAAGAAGGCAAAAACAGTTGGTTCCTGTGAGAGCAGAGGCCAATAAAGTAACAAAGTAGGGCTCTGACACTAAGGTCTCAAATCCACCATAGCTTTATTATGTAGGCAGTAGGGATCACTGGGAAAAGTCAATAAGGAGTTAAATACAGATCAAAGCCGCATTAGGAAGACTTCTCTGGCATTTGCGTACAAAACACATAAAAGTTTGAAGAGATTACATGCAGCAAGTATGTGACCTTGAGCTCATTACTTCAGCTTCCTTATCTGCAAAATGGAACCAAGTATATAATCATTTGGTTGGATTTTTGTGAGAATGAAATGAGATAATCCATGCCCAGTGCCTCATATAGGAAGCCCTTGGATAAATGTCAGAGGCTGAGTCAGATACATGCACAACTATAACTCACGTACGCCTTCAAATTAAGTATGGACATTAACACTTCTCCTTGTCCCTTCCTGACTGCCAGTTCCTGGAAAACAGTACCTGTAACTCAGGCTGGATTTTATCCCGGACAACACTTACCCAACATTATGTATAATGAAAAGACAGACATCTGAAGCGTGGGTGAATTATAAACAATATTAAAAAAAGAGCAGGTGCATGCTGATTCCCCTTAGCCATTCCCCAGCCCTGACCTCTATCATCCTGCCAACCTAAAGCAGAGCTCCAGGCTGAATCCATCACAAGAGAGTCAAAACATGCTTGTAAATTTGGGCCTGATTTGCTCTAATGAGTTCTTGCTTCTCCGCCATTTCTAGGGGAACATAAAGCAGTGAATGACATGATTCACAGGGCAGATGACACCTCTTTAATATCTCTCCACATGCTGACCTATTTCATTACTGTGCACTTCTCAGGGATGAGAAGCTATGCGAAGACTAGAAGAAAAATACCTGAGAGGCTGCCTCCTCCTGGGAATGTTTCAGCTTTTCAAGATTCTAGGTCATCCCTCTCCCTGATATTTGGAGTTCATTCTCACTGGGAGAGCAATCTGTTCATACAGCCCCCCCCCCTTTTTTAAGAGTTATTGTTTATCCACAGTATAATAGAAAGCATATTCAAAAATAAAATCTTCATAATTAAAACCTGTATATGGAGTTTTTCTTTTTAAATTTTAAGTATTAGGAGTAAGGTACATTCACTTCAGGTAATTCAATTTTGAGTTAGATAATTGAGTCACCTCCTGAGAAAGGCATAATTTAACTCTTTACAAACGGCCAAGTAGAGAAACTGAATGCTGTTGAAACCACTGATCCAGGATGAGTAAATTTGTTTAGGGACTGAGAGGTGTCCCGTGGTGCCAGGGAGACTGACCAGGAAGTGTTCCTGACCTCTGGTGGCCCAGAAGCTTCTGGTAACAGAATGTTACTTCTGCACCAAATGTACACGTTTCCTAGAATGAAAGACTATGTTCTCTAGGCTGTGGCCTCAATGAAAAGTACTGTCCAGGAGACATCTGCCCAATTTTGAAAGTCTGGGAAAATGAAGCAGCTTCAGAATATAGCCTCAAGATTACCCATGAAGACCACTCCCTCTAGTTTTCTTCCCAATTTCTTTCTAATTGAACATATAGATGTGCGGTGTGTCTTAGTATGCAGGTGTCTTTATACCCAGGTGTGTATATATTGACTTTGTATATAGGGCATGTGTGTTTGTATATGAACTTGTGTTTATGCATAGTATCATTGGCTCTTTCCAGACAAAATTCTCTATGAACCTGTGACTTTTTTTTTCCAAATTGAGAGGTCAAAAGAGACCATTCCTGATAGCTGTCTGCATCAGTCATTTTAAAAAACTTTAATAACTATTTTCTCACCTCCTGAGACCCCATCACAAAGCCCATCAAATAGGATTAGTTTAGAGATTGAGATTATGACTCCATTTGCCACCTTTTAAAACCAGTTCAAACAGGTGCCATTCTGGTCATCTGGTTTTTGGAGGGCCTAGAGTTCTTTTAAAACAAGGGAGACTTGACTTCTGTGCATTCACAAAACATGTATCAATCAGCACGTGCAAATACACACCAAGGAAAAAGCTAGTTTGCAACTCCACAACAATTGCTGTGATCATCTGTGTATTCTCACTGCTCTGCAGCAGGCGGGGGACACTCAGTGTTCATCTGAATATAAAGCTTTACAGATAGGCTTGACAGAATTTTCCATTAGACTAGAAAGACTAACTCACTGAAAGATAAAAGAATAAAGGAAGAAGGGAAGCAGCAGCTGGATCTACCTGGAAAATTTTTGCTTTACAGAATCCTGTATTTCTTATATCCGCAAATAGATCTTGAAGAGAAAGAAACTGCCTGAAGGTGGATGAACACTAAAACACACCCTCTGTAGTAGGATTCCCAAGAGGTGAAAGGAAATTGGTAGAGCAAATTTATATGCAGGTGATATCAGGGGAACCTAGATATGAAATATCTTGCAAACAAAAAGTGGAGAAGAAAACGTTTAAATAGGAGGAAATGCAAGAGAACTTTGATTACTGCTTCCCCATGATGTCTGCCCAGTCCAGAGGCATTTATCATGTGCAGCTGAAGGACAACATCTCTGCCAAGCCTACCTGAGCTCCATGAAGAACTCTGCACTCAAGTAGCCCTCGGAGGACTGGATGATCCTGGAATTCTCCCAGCTGGGCTTCATTGAAAAGATGACCAAGTAGCTGGATCTGAGCCTGATTATGGAGCTCATCCTCATGTTCTATGTGGACAAGCCAATCGACTGGCTCCAGGATCATTTTCTGTGGATTAAGGTCTGTAATCCTAGGAAGGATGTGTAACACTGGGACCAGCAGAAGACTGCCTGAGGATCAGCTTCTGGCCCTACCTCTTGAGCATGTGGGCAGGTGAAGAAGATCCAGAAATGGAAGGACAAGGCCCGTGGGAAGCAGGCACTGTGGAGGGTTCACGTGACCTGCAGGCCTAGGTGAGGACAAGCATCAACCCACACAGCACTTGAGCCAGAATAAGGCCTACCTGCATGAGGATTTCTTCTGGGGATTTGCATTATGCGTTTGTTTTTTTTTTTTAAACAATTATTTGCCATACAACACGTGTCAAATGTTGTAGGTAATTCTGAGATTACAGTATTTCAGGGACAAAGTTCATCACTAGCCTCAATTTATTTGGTCAGAAAATTGTGTGTGCTGGTGTATATGTCTTTTCTCTTTCCCAAAGAGATTGGAGAGGAGGTCAGGAAGATAAGAAAACTTTTAATTGGTGCATTCAGTCAAGCAGTTCAGCAACAGAACATTAATTTTTATTTTAATAATGTGTTTTTAATTGAATACTTTGCTGGTGCTGCACTAAATTGGGTTTGTTATTTAAAATTACATTAAGAAAGATCATCCCCCTTCTACAACTAATGCCACCCACTCTCCCAAATAACATGTTACCCATTCGGGAAGAGACAGAATAAATTACTATTCCTTGAGGGATTCTTCAGCAAAATGGGATAAATATCAGTAGACTAGCAAGTTGTTGTTTTAGAGTAAACAAAAATACTGTTGA